GTCTCTCACTATCATAGAGTCATTAACCTTGACAGAGAGGACACTCCTCGAAGGAGGAACATGAAAATATGTACATTATAACACAAACAAACTCCATGCCCTGCTGGCTCTGTTCTAGGGGCAGGAATGATGTCATGTCATCCCTGCATGGCCAGGCCAGGCTGTGCGGATGGGGTTTTTGTTTTTGTTTTACTATAATGAATTATACAATTGAATTAAACATTCAAACGAAAGAGGAAATTAATAGAGCACATATAGACTAAAATAGACACACAATGACAAGACGGGTTGACATGGACAGGATTTGTCCTGAGCAGAATAGAATAGTAGAGAGAATCAAGAGTTGCTTCTTACGACTTTTCTAGCTAGTGTGGAATACTTAAACTCTGAGGGGCATCAGTCAGAACTGTAGTTCTGTTTGACAACATTTGCTTTTCTTTATTCTGTGACTAGATGTTTCTAGAATGGTAGAAACTCAACACACTCTAGGAAGGAAGATGAAGAGACTGGAGAGGGAAAATCGATTCTGATAAATACCTGTGTGCTAGAGAACATCTCCAAAGACAGTGTGGGTGTTTTGCTGCATTTTAGACGATATTGGTCATGTTCATTGGGGATGGCAATAGAGTAAGATATCCTGCCTCACTTTATGGTTTGAATCCTGGTTCAAACATTGCCTGACACAAAACTCTTTATCACACTATTTAGTCTCCTGGAGATACTTATTTTCCCCATATATAAATTGAGATAATCCTAGAACTTACCTCCTGGGGCTTTTATGAAGATAGAAACTCAAATTAATAAATGGTACCTAGAGAGTTCAGCATGAGTCACTGACACCTATTTTTATTGTGTTTGGTTTTAAGTTTCTAAATCAATAACTACATAATGTGACACCACTCATGTGGCAGGAATCTCACAGGGCTGTTACATCAGGATTCTGTTTTATATATTTTGGGCCTAGACATGTAGATACCTGGCTATCTATGTCAGAGTTTCTACTTCACTGTGTTTGTCTTAAGCTTCATTCTTGCTTCTTTCCTTACCTTGTACAAAATAATTCAAAAAGCCATTTTTATCTGGAATTCTCAACATCTAGCCTTCTCTTGGGTTTTTACTTTTAAATTCTCCCAGTGATTGAAATTGATTGATGGCATTTAATAAATTATTCGTAGATCCACTTAAACCCTTCAGCATAGGTGTCAGGCTGTAATTTAATGTTTCGTTACTGTTGCTGTCCTGTGCAGAGTAAGAGACTAGAATCCTATAGAACTCTCGGTTTGGCAAACTCTTGCTCAACTTCTGACCATCTCTTTGCCAGAGCTGAATGCCCTTTGATTGTAACTTGCCATGTGAGCTGAGAGTATGCTGAATGCAGCCTATGTCTTTCCTCTCTGTGTTGGTTTCCACTGCTGTGTTGTTCAATGATCCAATGAGCTCCCTCAAAAGGAGGATGGAACTTTTATTATTATTATTATTATTATTATTATTAGTATTAGTATTATTTCAATCCTGGGGAAACTTATGCAAGAGGATTAAGGACTTTCTTGGATGTCATTCCTAGAATAGGACTTGAAATACCTTAGACCTCATCACCACATTAACATGTTGTTTTCTTGTGGCCTTAGTGAATGAATTTCTATACTATTCTGTTGTAGACTTCAGCATTACAGATTGTACTGGTTATCAGTGTCTTATTGTTACCGGTTGCTATGATAAAACACATGGCTAAAAGGCACCCGGAGAGGAAAGGGTTTATTTCATCTTGTGCTTGCTGGTAACAGCCTATCACTGAGGAATGGTGAGGCTCAAACTCAGACAGGGCTAGAACCTAGAGGCAAGTACTAAAAGCAGAGACCATGAAGGAGTTCTGCATTGCTGGCTTGCTCTTTGTGGACTGCACAGTCTGCTTTCTTATGCAAATCAGGAGCACCTGCTCAGGGTTTGCAGCACTCACAGAGCACTAGACGCTCCCACATCAATCATTAGTCAAAAAAATATCTCACAGATTTGCTTACAGGTCATTGTGATGGTGACATTTTCTCAATTGAGAGTCCCTCTTCCCAAATGACTCTAGCTGTGTCAAAAAGCCAGATGATGATGGTGATGATGATGATGATGATGATTTTTAAAATCCAGCACAGCTAGAAACATACACTCATTCCCTCTCAGTTGTAGGATGTACGAAGATGCCTCTGTTGAACGTTCAAGTACAGTTATTAGTCCTTGAATGGATAAACATTTTTATGAGTGGAGAAAAATAATGACCAAATCTTCAAGATGCAGAGAACCTATTTCTATTTCCAAGCTCATTGAACGGGTTGATAGCTTACAATTTACTTAACACACTCGCATATTACTTTTGATTCCAGAAGTAGTGAGCTGTGTCTTCATTTATGTGCCTTGCCATATGCCAGGGGCAGTAAAGGCTGCTCTGCTTTTAAACTCTGAACAGGACACATTTCCTAAGAGAGGAAGAAAGAAAAAAGAATATTCTCAGTTGCTAAGAAAGAGAAGCTGTATAACTCAGTAATTAAAAACTTAGCCTTTGGGCTGGAGAGATGGTTCAGTGATTAAGAGCAGGCACTCTTCCTGAGGACAACCCAGGCTTGGTTTCTAACTGTTTGTTACCCCAGCTCCATTGAGACTTTCACCTCTGGAGCTCACAGCCCCTGGCACTCAAGTGCTCATAAACACTTTCTCTCTCCTCTTCCTTCCCCTCTCCTTCCCCCTCTCTTTCCCCCCCTCTCTGTCTCTCACTCATTCACTCACGTTCATACTCTCTTTCCCTCTCCCTCTCCTTCTTCTTCCCCCCTTCTCTCTCTCTCTCTCTCTCTCTCTCTCTCTCTCTGTCTCTCTCTCTCTCTCACACACACACACTCATATACTTTCTCTCTCTTACACACACACACACACACACACACACACGCACACACAAGATAAAACAAAAATTTTAAATTCTAGCCTCAGGAAGCTTAACCTTAGTCTTCAAAGAAAATGAAATGAGAAATGAAAATGGGCTAGAAATATTAATATACATCGATAAGTTTTCTTTGACTAAGAAATATATGTCAGTTTTGAGCACTTAATACATGTCAGGTTTCTGCTAAGGAATCTAAGAGAGACTTCACATCAGAAAGCCTTACTGTTAGTTGTCTTTGCTACACTAGAACACAGGCAAGGCATCTCAATCCTGGGTGCTTCATCCACACCACAGTGAGATTCTAATCTAAATGACATGCAGTACATACTGATTCGTTGGTTTATATTTTTGTTTCTACTTTCTGCTTAACATTATTTCAATTTTTTAAAGAGATGTGGTCTCTTGAGATGTGGCCCTGCATGGCCTAGAACTCATTATGTACTCCAGGCTGGACTTGAACTATCAGAGATCTGCCTGCCTCTGTCTTGTGAATGCTGGGATTAATCCAGCCTAATTTCTTTTCTTTAATACAGCTAAGCTTTTGTTATTATATAATATTGATCCAGCATCTAATGTTTTTACAGTTTTGAACTTAATATTCAGAAAATCACAAAGCTTTCTGATATTTCTTTCCTATCTATAGTTGTCCATTCACTAGAAGCCAGAAATACTTATAAATCATATGTTCTATATAAATAATCTAATGAGAAACTTCAACATGCATATCTTGTCCTTTTCGTGACATCCTCTTTCCACATACCTGAAATTGTAGTGTGTGATAATATGTGTGTGTGTATATACATGATATGTATATGTGTGTATGTGTATCTATCATTGTGTGTTCATACATGTTTCTATGTTTCCTTGTGTATGTGTAGTCGTATATCAGTGTGTTTGTGTGTCTAACTTGTGTATGTGTTTGCATTTAACTATGTGTGTATGAGAGTGTGTGTGTGTATATATATATATTTGTGTGTGTCTATATTTGTGTATGTGTGTGTATGTGCGTTTGCATGTGTGTGTATATATTTGTGTGTGTATATGTGTGTGTATATTTGTGTATATGTGTGTATATTTGTGTATATGTGTGTGTATTTGTGTGTATGTGTGTGTATTTGTGTGTGTGTGTCTGTGTGTGTGTGTACGTATTGCTGGGAGTAGATCCAGACCTAACTTGTTTCACAATATAACTGCAAAAAGCATCATAAAGTTTTATGGTCTTTAAAGTATCAAACCATTTCTACTCCTATATTTTTTTTCCCAATTCACAAAGCCGACAGTTTCCAGGCACCCAGGCTGAGAATTTGGTGGTGTCAGAATTTACATGGTTTCTTACCAAAGCCTCATTTCAGATGCAATGGCAAAATGCAATTTGCATGCTGTTAAGAATGTAACATATTCACAGAGTGCTATCATGCCGAAGCAGATAATGTTTGCTGCTTGAGACCTCTAGACCTGGTATGCTAATGAGGAAGCTTGTCCTTCATAAATCCTTCCCTTCACTCTTATTCTTCCATAGGGCTAGTGCATATGTTAATATGGATCTGAATATATAGCATGTACAAATTATACATGCCATCTTTGTCTTTTTATAATGATATGCTATAATTGTCTATGAATCTGTATACAGTGCATTTATTTAAGGAACAATTTGTACATATATATGTATAAATAGATGGTAGATAAGTAGCGAGTATCATTTCAAGTGAATTTTAACTACGTCTTTTGAAGTATCCTATTAATATAATTAAAAGTATATGAAGTATATATATTTTTAACAATTGTGATGCCTCCGATTCAATTTTAATTAACTTAAAATTTGGTATATTAGAAATTTGCAAAGTAGCAGGTCATTTTGTAGAGGAGAATTCAAACATCAGACACCAAAGTCTACCTTGCCAATCTTAAATGTAACCCTAAAGTCTGAGAGCAAATACGTAAAATTATGTAGCTTTTCAAGTTCTAGGTATCTTGATTTTTAGCTGAGATGTTTGTACAAATGCCCCATAGTGACAACTTCTTCCTAAAGTGCTGCTCTGGAGGGGAATGGTTTTGAAATTGAATTATCACATTCTAGGCCAAGATGACTCAACTGCCTGAGGCAGAAAAGGAAAAGATTGCCGAGCAGGTAGCTGACTTCAAAAAGGTGAAGAGCAAGCTGGATGCAGAGATTGAGATATGGGATGACACAAGCAACGACATCATTGTCCTCGCCAAGAAGATGTGCATGATCATGATGGAGATGACCGACTTCACAAGGTAACTATGTGGGAACGGTAGTGTGATAAGCGAAGGATAACGGTCATGTGTTTGTCATATCGATGAAACGCCCGAGTTTCTCTGAGTGGGAAGAGGAAACGCTAATATAGAATTAGGAAGTTACGAATGTACAAATTCCAGAACTGTGGTCAAAATAGCACAGTTTCTTATACAGCCCTTACCTCATGCTCTCAGACATTCATACTCTGAGATTACATTGTATCATACTCTCACTCGGTAGCAAAGATTACATTGTATCAATCTAACACCTCCCTAACTGTCCACAGAAATGGGTAACTAGGATATGTTCACTCTGAAGCTCTTGAGGAATTTATACCTACTGCTGCCTCATCAGGATTTCTGGCCTATGGCATTCCTGAGATTGCAAATCAGTGTCTTTGAAACCTCAATGAACAATGAAGACTGTGAAGGAAGCATACATTGTCTATAGAGAAGCAACATAAATGTTTTAAAATAGTTGTGAGACTTTGTGGTAGCATAGTCTAACTGACTCCGTTCTCTGGTAGAGTCATCATGGCCTTGGGACTCTGTACATGTATCCTGACAACTGAAAAGACTTACAGCCCCCATACCTTATTTCTGCCTGCAACACTGGGGCTTGCATCTGGTGGCTGCAGGATGGCCACTTGAAAATGAGAATTTCCCAGCGAGTAGAAAATTGACATTGGTCTCTGACCTTTTGTATCTCTGCAAACCAGTCTCAGAGCCTTGTTTCCTCCATTTTGTGGTCCTAACCAACTGTTCCTTTACCATTATTAGTTAGCTCCAGTTCATTGTGGTGGTGGTGGTGGGGGGGGCTGAGGGGAATAAAACTGAGTGATAAATACTCCAGTTTGATGCTAAGAGGTTTGCAAAGACCTGACTTTAAAAGGCTACCCACAGAGAGAATACAGTTCAGAGGACAAGAAGCAGAAGCCCAGACTCAACAAAATAAGGAGATAAAGGCAACTGTGGAGGTCATGGCCAAATGTAAACAATTTGCTGAGCCTAAGATCAATGACTCTGCTTCACTTGTCCAAGATACTTTAGCATAGGATAGCTTTAAGCATGTTTCTCAATGAGGAAGCCCTCTCTGTGACACTGACCTATTCTGGAAACAGTCTGATGAAGGTTCTGGTGACTGTGTTGTTCTGAGTATTCGCCTATGGAATGTACCTTAGTCCTTCATGAGCCAAAACCTACTTAACTGGAATATTCCAGTGAATGGACTCTTGACAGGGCCACTCCGTACAACCAATGACAACAGCTCGATGTCTGGGACTGGGTTCTCCTTAGGCAAAAAAAAAGTTGCCTTTCTATTGAGTATGAGTTGAAAGGTGAACTATGGGTAATATCCATGTGGAAACTGGATCCTAATGGTGAGGAGATGGTGCTATCAGAACACTTCTCCTGGGAGGGGATTGCTCTGTGTGGGTAGGCCTTCAATAAGCACAAAATCATTACAAGAACATGTCTTGCAGTTGTCTAGCTGTCTACACCCACCCTATAGGGAAAGGGAGGTCATTAAGGGAAACAGAATGTGGAAAACAGGTTGCAAATGTCTTTATATAATTAACCAAGGAGCAGCAAGATGTGGAATGCCTCTCTTACCAGTTGCTAGTGAATACAAACCTGAAATAAAACTTAGTCTTCATGTAGCTACTGAAATCACAAAACAGAAGACTACCCTATGCCAGACATGTTGCATGTAGGAAACTATTGTATCAGGATGCACTACACACAAAAACCAATGTTACGATGGTACAATGAAAAAATGCAATTTTAAATCATAATTAAATGGTAATGCACATTACCTTTCAGGGTTAAGACTGAAAAAGAGTTTTCAAATGTTAAACACAGGAAGTAGTAAATTGAATGACCTAAAAAATGCTCTTTCAATGAAAAGTTCTAAACAAAATTAAAATGAAAAGATAATGTGCCGAACGTTTGTAAGAAGGACTAGCTACAATGTGATACTTTTTATCTACAGGACAAAAGAGATGGGCAGATAAATCACTGCCTTGTTAGGACCTGACTAATTAATGATATTTAATGGAAAAGTAAGTGAGATAAGTATACAATTGTTCAAAATGTTAACAACAGCAAAAAAAAAGCCAACATAGATATGGTGGGAAGAAACAAGCCTTGGTAGATGCCTTAATTTGGAATGTTGTTTGTGCTGGTAACCTTGGTGTGCTTTGTCAACAATGTATCCTGTGTCTGCATCTCTAGTTCACTTCAGGTAAAAGTATTTGCAAAGAACAATCTGAAACAGGACTCTTTAAAAATTAATTCAACCAGTTATTATTGGTTGGTTTTGTTTTCATTTAATATTTAATTTGCTCTTGGACAATTTTAGCCATACACAGAGTGCATGGTGACCACGCTCCCCCTCAAATGCCCCTTGCCTGTCTGTCCGTCTGCTTCCCATAAGTCTCCCCCTCACAGTCCTGTCTGCTCATCCTGCTTTGTTAACTGAGATTAGCCATCACTTTCTCTGTGATTTTAGAGTGATCTTTTGGAGCCTGATGGGTTCCAAAAGAGAGCTCATTGAGTAAAGACAGTTGTTGCTAAGCCTGAAGACCTGAGTTTGATTCCCACTATAGCAGAGAGGGCAAAACAGTGCTCAAGCTATAGAAGTAAGGGCATGAGGATGGATGATTATTTGATGAAAGAACAGAATATAGGGAACACTGATTAAAACCTGGGCTGGAAAGAACTTTTTAAAGACCATTCCTAGGGACCTACTTCTCTAGCCAGGTCACAGAGTTCCATTAACTCCCCTAGACACCAGCTACAACCATGGAATAAGTACTCACAATGTAAGGTTCTGGAGGAGAAAGCAGATTCAAACCATAACGTCTGTAGTTCACACAAGATTCGGAGAAAGAGTGAAATTAGATGTTTATGTTACTTTACCTTCTGAATCAGGAAGCCCATTAGGAATTATTCAGGTTGTAAAGATGTTCTTATCATGATATTTAAATATTTAATTGCAGATTTCATAAGTCAAGGGTTTATCAATATTTATCAATAAAACAAGCACCGTAGTATTTATGTTGTGATAATTTTTAAATTAAATAATGTAGCTGTTACTACCTATCAATTTTGAGGCGACTGACTCTGCTACTGGATGAATGTGGTTAATCACAAGGTTATTCAAAAGCCTCTGAAATAGTACAGCTTGAAAAACATCAAATTTGCATGCTAATGATAGAACTTTTCTTCAGTTTTGTTTGGTTATCTAAGAAGAATGTTATGTGTTCTCTTGTTCTGTTAACTACTACATCCAGATATTACTATGATGTTTATAACCATGGTTTTATAACCATAGTATCATGATACTTACCTACTCATCATGAGCCTACCTAGCTGCAGATGAGTCAGGGAGCACATTATCTGTAAATTCAATAGGAAGGAAAATCAATTTACATTCTGTGTGATACAAAACAAGGAACTGAATGTTCCCCCAATAGGTATTTCTGGCAAGTTTCAAAATAACTAGATAGTGAAGGTTGCTGCTTTAAATACATAATAAATCCGCTTCGCACCCCCACCCCTTCTTCTTTGGATTCTTCCAGATAAAAGATACAATTTTAAAACAATTAAAACTGCCTTAAATAAAAAGACACCCCCCCATCATATACACACAATGATTGTGTTGTTAATATGTTTATAGCTATACCCTAAATAAATCCTTGATGTCCTGCAAGGTCTGCCTCCTACAAAATATCTGATTAAAGGGCAGATTGGAGCATCACAGGGGTGCCAATTTGCCAGCTGGTCACCCTGTGTTTGAGTGGTGTTTCACAATGAGTGTTGGCTGACCTCCGCTAAAGGACCCAGATAGGACCTGGGTAACTGCAGTAATCGCTACTCCCTGGTAAAAACAGAATCTCTCAGATTTCTAATGGAATACCAAGGTATGTCAAGGTGAGTCACATCACATAAGCATCACCTCCTCTGACAGTGTCTAGAACATCTACCCATGCTGCTTTCTTTCCCCGTTTTCCTCCTGTATAAAGAAGAGACTCATCAGTGGCAGGGGATTACTATTCTTAAAGTGAATGGATAACCACATGGTTCACTTTCCAATTCTGGATCATTTACTAAAGCCAAGGACAGATATGAAATTTCAATCAGCCCTGATAAGAGCAAAATTTGCAATTTTAATAAAAAACGTCATGTGTGTCTCACGATCTCATAGTACTCTTAATGACTGTGTTGTCAGGGACTGTCGACCTCGGGTTCATTATTTATCGATTATCTTTAAATTAAAAATACCTTCAAACTGTAGGTTTTTATTTACATTTATTATTCTAACAAAATTTTAAAAATGAGTTTTGAAGAGAAAATGTTCTGCTGCAATCTCAAGCGAACACTCCTCATCTATGTTTTCCCCTAGACGTTATTTTCTTAGTTTGGTCACTGTTTCTTTCATTCATTGTCCTAGAGCTATTTTTTTTTTTATCTCCTGGCTATATGAGTTTCTACTCCTCATTTTCTTTTTTCCCACAGAGAACACATGTCAACACAACTCTTCGTGTTGTCACGTCTTTGTCCTTGAAGGAGTAGATTTTTCTTGACTTCCTTCTTTTCACTCCGCACTTTGGACCCTTGTGATCTTGTACTCGAATGGCCCTACTCCAGTCATTCCATTTTGTCTCCAGTTTCTGATTTTATTTTTTTTATTACTTTTCCCTCTTTATCAACACACCACAGGCCCTTCTGTCATCTTTGTCTCCTTTTAAAACTTTTAGCCAATGACCTCCGTTCTTCCATCTCCTGTCCTCTATATTTAAATGTGTATTATGTCTCTATGTGAACCCATGTCTCATCACTTTGATTGCTCATACTTGATAAATAATCACAGAGTTATCTATGCAAATGGGGCATGAACATGTAAAGTTAATCTGTCATGAATGATACCTTCACTCATCTCTCCATTTGCTAGAGAGGAGTGTCAATCATTCTGTATCCTTACAGAGATCACACGGGAA